ACAAACACATACATGCCACTAGAGGGTACAAGATCTATAAATTAGTAAAATAATACAAGAGGACTTGATAAGAAAAACAACTTTTTCAGAAATAATATGGGGCATGGAAGCAGGTACAGTCTTTCAGCTTCCAAGGTGGTTATGTACTGCTGCTAATCTCCAGAGGTTGCTTACTCCTACATTAGTCAATCCATCCTTTTTATTGTCCTAGCATATTCCTCCACAACTTAGGTTTGTTGCTTTTTTGATGGATTTCAGCTAGGCTTTCTTAATACTTTTTTGCAATCTTTAATGAAGTGGACACCTACTTGGCTTAGGTCCTTGATCCTGTGTGAACTTTGGGAGCCTTGAAGAGAAAAGCCAGAGTCAAATCTTACCAAAGTGATAGATCTGATATGCAGAGACCATAATATTTCACATTTCATGCATAGAGATATAAAAAAACCTTAAACAATTTGCTGCATTGTAGAAATAATACTTACATTTGTTCCATGGGCTATAATTACCAAGTACAATATTTAAATTTTTTTAAAAAGAGCTCTGTACAAATTGAGGCAGTTCTCATCTCTGCCTGAAGAGTGTACACAGTCATGTATGTTATTTATCTCAGCAAGATGAGGGTCTGTTGAACATACTGTGCATGGATCTATGGTGTCCTGGATCTAAATTGCTAACAGATACAATTTAATTTACTCACTTGCACAGCAAATAATATCTGGGAAGATACTATTAATTTAATTACTGTACTTCTGCATCAGTAATAGCTAAAACCATTCTGCTTTTTGTGTAAGGTTCATGTGACTTGCCATGGCTAGTTATGGCCTATTGACAAGATGCCAGGGCACATCTCAGTCATGTACCATGTCACAAACCCTGGCTCCTTGTAAGTTGCAATTAACTGCAACAGGTTATACAAAACTTACATGGGCACCAGTAAGATTCTGGCCAATGTATATAATTTAACTCACTGGAACAATTGTTTAGAGAAATGCAATGTTAAAAATGTATACTGTGCAAGTGGCAGTTTAAAAGAGAAGCATTCCATTTTTCCCAACATTTAATTTTTACAGTCCATTCTAGATTTTCCCAGCATTGATTGATATCTATTACATATTTACTATTTTCATATTTGGCATGTTCAATATCTATTAGATATGTGTTTAATATTTTGAATCCATAATGTTTGTTTCAGGATGCATGCAAGTGAAATAATTTGATTTCTCCCACACAGTTCCATGAAGCTTGGCACAAACTTACAGAATGGCTAGACGAGTCAGAAAAGGCTTTGGATACAGAGCTTGAAATTGCAAACGATCCAGACAAAATTAAGATGCAGCTTGCCCAGCACAAGGTGAGTCACTAGTAATGGAATGAAGAGGTTGTCCAATGAGAAGACCAGAAAGCCAGTGAACCTCGTACTGTGTAATTAGCAAGAAGCAAGGACAATTCAGTGGTCACTAGGTTGGAATGTTTGCCACCATCCATTCAAACATTGGCTGTTTTCCAGCTTGTAAAATAAATAGAAGTTGGATGGTTTCTCTGCATGTTCCCACTTTCTTAAGAGTGAAAACTGCATGTGGGAAGGAAAGGTACGACAGTAAAGAAAAACAGAGGCCAGATAAAATATCCGTAAAAAGAAATGATTTTGAAAATTTTCTTTCTGTAGTCACTTAGGTTGGTCTGTAAGATACACTGGAGTTGAGCTAAACCTGCTCCTTTTTATTTTGTATTGGTTATTGTGTGGATTGCTTTTTTAAAAAAAACGCAGTTTGATTCAAAACAACTAAGAGAATGTGTAGTTTGACAGGGAAATCTTTAATCATTTGAGATAAATTATTCCCCCCACCTCCTGAGTTAGAAATGAATTTGATGCCATGGAGCTGTCAGCAACACAAATGAAATCATGAAAGGAGAAAAGAGAGTTTTCCTATTAAGAGTTCATAGCTGTCAAGCTCTTTTCTGTAAATCTGATTATGTGCAGATGAAAAGTTACCTTTGAAAGCTGGGCCTCCTCTCTGTGGCTTAAGGGAAGAGGACATACTGTCAGTAGAGGCAGCCTTTTTTTTCTTGATCTGCTCTACAAAACTGTTTGCATACTGAACTTCAAGGATGCCCTGGTATTCTTAGCAACTCGCCTGTCAAATCAAATTATAGCATATTATCTCATTTCTTGTTTTTAAAAAATATTCTCGCTGCTCTCCTTCCTTTACTCCTCCACTCTTTGCTTTTTATGTCTTCCACTCAGAATCACTGCAATGAATTTTAAATCTTGAGGTGTCTATGTGATTAGTGGTTCCTGTTAGTTGTATGTACTTTGAAAGCTAGTTAGACAAACTATACATCATCTTAATTTACTCTTAAGAGGTTGCAGTTAGTTTTGAATGACCTTTTTCTCTTGATAAGTTGCACTTACATTTTACTCCAAGGACTTAATAAACTGCTGTGAAGTTTGTTACCCTTTGTTTTGACTTCTTTCTCATTTTGCTGAATGTAGGAGGCTGACTTATTCTGAAGTAAGATTACTGGTCCATCTAATTAGTTTTGTCTACACTGATCAGCAGAAGCTCACCAAAAGCAAATATTTACACCGCCATGGGGCGATATATATATATATACCGCCCCATGGTGCTTCAAGCACTCTCTGGGCAATTTACAAGTTAGTTATGCAGGCTACACATTGCCCCCGCCCACAAGCTAGGTACTCATTTTACCGACCTCGGAAGGATAGAAGGCTGAGTCAACTTTGAGCTGGCTATTTAAGATTGCACCCCAGGTTATGAGCACAGGTTTGGCTGCAGTACAGCAGTTTAACCACTGTGCCAAGATTTAAGGCCAGAATTTTACCCTTTAGTTTCCAAGAATTGAGCCTGAGGCATTTTGGCCAGTATCCTGCTGCTTTCCAGTGGAGCAGAATTCCCTATACTCATCAATTCGCCATCACACAAGCCAGATAGTTGCCCTGCTGAAATGAATTATGTATGCAAACAAGCTGCAAGTTGCTTAGTTCTGAAAGCCTAGAAGCAGTCCTGTGCAGTGGAGCATCATGTGGAGGGACAAAACAAGTAGGATTCTGCCCTCTATATGCAAAACATATACTCTGTCAGTAAGCTACAAGACTTCCCTCCAGCAGTGGACCCAAGGCTTCTGAAAACTGGAGGAATTTAGAAATTATTTCTAAGACTTAAGCAACACTGTATCAATCTCCTGTTTCACCAGGACAATTCTTTTAGGAGGTAGGTTTTTGGACTCATCTATAGACAGATAGGTTTGCTACAGAGTCTAGATTATATTTAATGGGAGATGCTTTAATGGCTTTCTGTACAATATGGGGTATGTCGCTGCAAGGAGAATGGCCAAAACAACACCGCCCTACATGCTTAGAGAACAAACATGTATTGTTCATTTGTTTCCTCACATATATACATGTATACACAGACACACACATATATATATACAGAGAGAGAGAGAGAGAGATCAGGTAGTTTCTGCTTTTTTACTTCGAGCTGGGTCCATATATCCATTTTACACAAAAAACATGGAGACCAGATGTTGCCTTAAGGCTTGAGTTTAGCATGGTGCAAAGGTTGAACTGACAAAGAGATTCACCAAGGATCCTAGGGGCATGTGTTGAACTGATAATCCAGATAAACCTTAATGACCCTTAACATCAGGACAGTTTACATTGTGATCACAACTATTTGCCATGGATTTCATCAAATTGAATCATTTTACATCAGTTTACAAAGAGATCTCCAGAGTTTTAAAAGATGCATAGGTTTACTTATGGCATACTCTGGTCCAAGGGGTCACAAAGAGTTGGACATGACTAAACGACTAAACAACAACAAAACAACAAAAAGGTTTACTCATATAAGCTAGTAGAATAACAACTATAAATTTATCTCTCCTTTCCAGCATATGGGGAGTAATGAAACATTCCTCAAAAGTCCTAGCAAATCTCCTTATCAGGTTCTTTGTATGTTATATATTTTATATCGCTGTATGCCTTGTGTTTATTTCAAACTTCCTTTTATGAAGTGAGCCATTGAACAGCTGTTGAAGGTTTGTAGTGGTTTTGATATCTTAGTAAGGGTATAAATTAGGCCATGTATGATAACTTAACTTTGTTCTTTATGAGCTTCTCGCTGCCAAAAACAGAAAGAGACTACAGTATTTTTTTTTAAAAAAATGATACCTGACTCATATTTATTGCACATTGCCAAAGACTGGAAGGAGTATTCATTGTATTTTTATCAGCGTTCTTCTGCAATTCATGTTTCATTTAGAAGCTAAAGCGACAGATAGAAAGATTAGGTCATGAAGTTTAATCTTTGCTTTGCTTCTTCAAGGATTTCAGAACATTCATATGTTCTAGGGTAATATGGGCTTCTCTGTGGCTTACCTCAGTTACAGTCACATGTCTAACAATTATAGAATTATTACAGCTGGATGTAATTGCTTGTGAGTTTTATTCTAGAGCAGCCATTTCCAACTTCTTCTTCTTCTTCTTCTTCTTCTTCTTCTTCTTCTTCTTCTTCTTCTTCTTCTTCTTCTTCTTCTTCTTCTTCTTCTTCTTCTTCTTCTTCTTTTTTCCCCAGGGCTCTTTTAAGAGCTCTACTGAGGTTTCATGGCCCCCTGTCAGACAAGGATACAAAACAAACAAGTGAATAGAACATTGCCTTCTCACATTTTTTTAGTCTGTGGCCGCCTTCAAATGTGCCAGGGACCCCTGAGGGGCCCCATGGCCCCAATTAAGAATGGTTGTTCTAGAGAACAATTGGACATGATTAAAGATGGGCATGAAGCTTGGTTCAGAAGTTCATGCCAGTTCGTACACGCAGTTCCCTTTCTGTACCTCCCTGGCTGGATCCTCCACTCAGCAGCTGGCGTGCACACCTGTCCTCCCCTTCCTCGGTTGTTCATCCAGCAGGAGTATGGGCTTCCCTGCCCCTCCTCCTTGGCTGATTGCCCACTCAGGTGAGGCAGGACAGGCAAACCTGTGCTCCTGCCAAGGACTGGTTAAACAGCCAGAGACAAGTGTGCTCCAGCCGGTGAGTGGGTCATGGCTGGGGAGGTGGGAGAAGGGAACATGTGGCATATCAGCCTCCAAACTGAGGTCTGTTACCCATCTCTAGACATGATACAGCCCTTGCAATTAATATACTGAAATTTTCAGTGCTAGTACATTCACATTCAAGCAGTATCTAAACTATGTAAACCGGTGCAAGGATGATTACACAGCTGTCTCTCTCTTGTGCGATTGTCTTGAGAAAATATCAGCTACTTGGTGTTTATTAGCATAGCAGCTCCATGACAAAGGTTACAGTGCAGAGCCAAGCAAAGGTCTGGATGAGATACTGTGTTGACATACTATATAAAAGCCCCTATGGAGGACAACGTTTCCTATGATCATGAGGAAATAGTTTCACTAGTAACAAGGGGGATCAAACACATATGGATTGGGTCCATTCTTCACTTTCTCTGTTGGTGACAATGAGCTTAACAAAAATATCTTATTATTTGGTTTGAATATTATTCATTTCTGAAATATAGCATGAAGATCTTGGTTATGTCATCGCCATACTGATTAGTTTTTAATGCTTTCTTTAGCAGTATGCTAAAGAAAGGCAGTGCCAAAGAATGCTCCAACTACCGTACAATTGCACTCATTTCACACGCTAGCAAGGTTATGGTCAAAATCCTCCAAGGTAGGCTTCAGCAGTATGTGGACCGATAACTCCCAGAAG